TAGAGCTCTAAACTTCCCTCTAACGACAGCTTTCAGCGTGTCCCAGAGGTTTTGTTGTGTTGTATTGTTCTTTTCATTTAGTTCCAGGAATACTTTTATTTCTTTGTTAATTTCTCTTTTGACCCATTCATCATTTAGGAGTGTGTTTTTAATCTCCATGTGTTCATGTAGTGATTAGGGCTTCTTCTGGTGTTGATTGTAAGCTCTATTGCATTGTGGTCTGATAGAATGCATGGAATTATTTCAATCTTTTTGTATTTGTTGATGTTTGTTTTGTGCCCCAGTATATGGCCGATTTTGGAGAAGGTTCCATGGGACGCTGAGTAGAAAGTATGTCGTTTAGTGCTTGGGTGCAATACTCAGTAGATGTCTGTTAAGTCCATTTGATATATGGTATTGTTTATTTCAGATGTCTGTTAACTCTCTGCCCTGTTGATCTATCTAATGGAGACAATGGGGTCCTGAAGTCCCCTCCTATTAATGAGTTGGGATTAATCTGGGTCTTAAAGTCCTGTAGTACTGTTTTTATGAAGTTGGTTGCACCAGAGTTTGGTGAATACATGTTCATGTTTGTAATATCTTCTTGGTTTAGTGTTCCTTTGATCAGCATGAAGTGGCCACCTTTGTCTCTTCTGATTAGTTTTAGTTTAAAGTCTATTTTGTCAGATATTAGAATTGCAATGCCTGGTTTTTTCTTCATATGATTCGCTTGGTATATTTTATTCCATCCTTTCACCTTAAGGTAGTGCCTGTCCTTGAAAGTGAGATGAGTTTCTTACAGATAACAAAAGGATGGGTTTTGTTTCTTAATCCATTCAACTAGTCTGTATCTTTTGTCTGGGGAGTTCAGTCCATTGATATTTAAAGTTATTAATGAAAGATGTATATTGAATCCTGTCATTTTATTTCTGTTCACCTTCTTGATATACCTGTGCGTTTCCACATTTATACCTTCATTGAATTTCTTTCCTTCGCTCCTTGTATATAGTTGTTCCTTTCTTCAGAATTGTTTCCAGAACTCTCTGAAGGGCTAGTTTTGTGGACATGAATTCTGTCAGCCTATTTATGTCATGGAAGATTTTTCTTTCCTCTTCGACTATAATAGACATTTTGGCTTGGTATAGTAATCTGGGTTGGCATCTGTGGTCATTTAAAACTGGGAATACTTTGGTCCAGGCTCTTCTGGTTTTTACTGAAAAAT